CCCCCCCCCCACACACACACTCATAGATGAGCCTAAGAACTTAGCAACATGAATCAGTTGGAAGTAGAACGGGCCAGGGTTCTCACATTCAGCATTGCTAAGTCACCTGGAAGCCTGGTAAAACCCCCAGAACACAAACCCCACAAGTGGCAGGGCCCCATAGGGTATCACCGCTTCAAATTCAGTAGGTCCAGATGGGTCCTGAGGATTTGCATTTCAAACAAGAGATGAATCTGCTGCTATAGGTCTGGAGACCAGAGTCTGAGCACTGCTGAAGGCTGTTAGGACCGTGACCCCCATAGAAAAGTCATCCTCATGTGGTCTAATGTGACACTGGCAGACAGACACTGGGGGAAGCTTGCCTCTATGGTAGACACCTACCTCTGTGAGCAGGTCCATTTACAAGTGCTGCCCCAGCCCTCCCACCAAAGTGTTAAAATGCAACAGGAAAGGTTAAGAAAGTTCTTTGAATACTCTGTATATTGTACAAAGCTTCAGGGGCTACTGCCATAGGCACCCAACTTCCAGCTACAGATTTCACAGCTTTAGGCTGAGCTACTCTGATGTCATTCTTTCATCTACAATCATCCACTGACACTGGATCTAACCTCAGGGTACTTACTGTTTGGTGCAGCGCCCTCTCCTGTCCTAGTTCTCATTCTAGAATCTTTAGGATACAAGAGGCACAATATAAAGTAGAATTGATAAACTCTGCCACTCCCATATATTTAAGATGTAGTATGCAATAGCCATGATACAGAGAAGTCACAATACAAAGAAAAAAGGGGCAGAAAGCTGGACGTTTGTATAATGTGTTCTGAAAATGCTCAGAGGAGGTAATTAGGGCAGTAGGAACAGGCATCCTGTTGGGCAGTTCTTTTCCACCCCGTCTCTTAATTTAAAGCAGCCTCTCAAAGTCACTGAGCCTGGAGCACATCTTTCTGTCCATTCCTTCTTGTCCTTGAAAGCCTCATTTATCTCACATTTCCTGACCATGTCCAGCCTTATGGAGATCTCTGTTTCAACCTCTAGGGTGGCCCTCACTTGGCACTGTGGACAAACAGCCCTCTAGTGTTGGCTCTTTGACTTTACACATTTCACTTTCTCCAGAGATTAAGGTTTTAGGTTTCTTAGAGAATGGGATTATATCTGAATCTTTATTGCCCTTTCAGTGGGACATGCTTACACAGCAGTATGTACTAAGTGTTAGGACTGATCTGTTTTGGATTGGCATCCATCAAGTCAGGAACCAGGTAGAAAGATAGGTCAGCAGTGGTCTTTAACTCAAGCCACGGGTGGAATATGTACAGCTGGGTGGGGTAGAGATGGAGGTAGGGGTGGAAGGAACAGAAGAGGATGCAAAGAGGAGCAGAATCCCCAAGACTTGATGTAACTGGTGTGTAGATGTAGCTCAGAAGGTAACAGGATGACTCATTTATTCATGAGGGATTGCACAATCAAAGAATTTATGAGACAAGGAAGTTGATCAGGACGACTGTATAACACAGGAAATAGACAACATACAACTTTTGAAGTAAAACCTGAATTTTAATCCCAGTCTCACCATTTATAAATTAGCTGCACATCCTTGGACAAGCTACTCATTGAGTCGTAAGGTCTTCACTGATAAAAGAGAGCAATAATAATGTCACAAATGTTTAGGTTTGATGAGAAAATCAGGGACTGAAAGTAACCAGCTCCTGTGACTAACATGTGACGCATTGTGGTTAATAAGCGATCAGCGGTTTTTTTTTGAAAACAAAACCATAATCACAGCAGTATGGCAGTAATGAAGGACCAGGACTCTGCACATTTTGAGTGGTGGCTATTGGCTTTTTTTCCCTCTATACAAACAAAAATAAAGTGTCCAAAGACAGAGACTTCAAATAAGAAGCTCTGTGATTCGAGGCAATGAACCTGTCTAGCAAACTGCAAAAACCCAAAGGAGATTGTCTGGAGCTCATCTTGGAAAGTTCCTATATGAATAATCCGCTGGTTTATTTCTGAGTGAGCAGTATCAAAACCGGTCCACTCCTGCAGGTGGAGCAAGTCTCCATTTGCATTGATTAAGAACGATCAGAGCTCTGATTTTCCAGAGTGTACTTTGCCATGCTCTTTCTACCTTTGAAGACCTCTATTCTGTCATACAATAGGTAATAGTTTATTCCATCTACTGGCAAGCGAAAGTGAACAATGTTTTGGAAAAGTTGCCTTCTACAATGCCCACTTAAGCGTTCATGTTCTAAACTTACCCTAAAGAGTCACCATTAGGACTCACACACAAAAAGCTATGTGTGATGGTAGTCAGTGCAATTGACAGATGAAACAAAAGTAGCTTGAAGCTTAAAATTATTTTCAAAAAATCAAGTGAAATGTTTTCCAAATGAGCTAACTTCTGAGGTCCTAGCTTCTGCAGATCTAATTACCCTAGAGATCCAAAAGAAGTGGTTTCTATAATTCCAGGCTCACTGCTTTATTTCTCCTCACATCCCTAATTTGTTTTTTTTTTTTGTAATAAGGTGTATGAGCCAGGTCGATGCTCATTTTTTGTGCCCTTCAATGTGGAACATGTGGTCATCAAAGAAGATGTGTGGCCGGATCTTCATCAAGATGGGACCTTTGGGAGCTCCAGCAAGGAAAAGAGCTTCATCTATCTCTAAACCCCAGCGGCGAAGGGTTTTCAGCACCCGGGCACCTGAACTAGCTGCGCTCCTGGCTGTAACCAGGTAGGTTCTGATGGGGCAAAGTAACCGTTCATCTTTGGCATAAAACTTCTTTTGCAGTCTGCCTAATTCTTCCAGAAAGGACTTTAAGGGAACCTGTAAAAGGAACATATGTAGCTGTGATTCAGTGAGTCAAAGGAGGTAATACTACATGAGATACCAGCACTGTGAGGCTGATGGCAGCAGGGGTGAGATTGCCTGCTTGTGTGGATAAAGTTTCTATTACAGACCCACCTTGCCTGGAATATACAGAGGATGGCCATATACTGTATCACCCAGGTTCAGATGTGTCCTGATCACACAGTGTGATCTAAAACAAGTCAGAGCAACAGAAAAACTACCCGTGGAGAGTGGAATATTCTAAATACAGTGCAGTTGATCACTAAAAGCACACATCTTTTCATTTGCTTTTTGTGATTTGTACATTAACTTTATAATTCGACTCCTTTGTTTAGTTTAATGTCTTCCTGACTTGAAGTCAATCTTGTCTGATAATTACAAATTAAGCTAAATACCTTCACATTTTTGTCATCAACCTTACTGAATACTTAGTTTTAGCTCTGGTGGAGAGCATAGATGTGGTTTTGTCCATGTGACCCAATCTGAAAGCCTTGTATTTTAGAACAAACATTGTGTTGTAGCCTACTTATATTTATTAGAATTACAAATATAGTGGATAATCATCCTGTCGTATGATTTTTATTGCACATTTCATGTTTAAAGATTTTAAGGGGTTGTTAACTAATGCATCTTTCTTCTTTGCCTGGATATATGTATGTTTATTTAGGAAAATCTGTATGTCTGGATTATTTCTTTCCATTGATTACCATTACAACTGTAACTATAATATCCTCAAGTCCTCTATTTTTTAAATCCAGGATCTATTTTTCTTAATAGTGACAAATAATAACATTAAGCTATGCTTCTCTCTTCCTTTATTTCTTTTCCAGCCAATTCTATTTTTTAAATATTTCTCAGTAATCACATTTATATTTTTAAAGATTCTCATTTCCATCTGCTTTACATTTTATCCATTGACTCACAATTTTAACTGAAGCTACCAGCCTTCTTATTCTTCCTGAGATCTTCATACCTTCATATTTTTCTAGTTTTCATTTCTTTTATATAACCCTATTCCCTACAATTGCTGTAGCTTTAGTCCCATGGCTAAATATATTTGATGCCTTTTTAGGTCTTTAGCTTCTATAGTTATTGTCATGTTAGCCAAAATGCGCCTTCTAGATTTTTCATGAAAATGTTAAAATACCCCCTGAGAATATACTATGCTCTCAACTGTTGGTCTGTTTCATTTTTACTTAATGAACTATTGGGTTGTTAGAAAAGTTATGACCTTTTTTTCTGTTTGCTATGCAAAACAAGTCACTACTTTTCTGACAACTCAATACTGCATAATGAATTCTGATGTTTATTTTCTCTCTGTATTATCTTACAAGTAGTACTCCATTGTCTTTGCTATTAAGCACTGCTGTGGAAAAGACTGAGTTTTCCACTTGTGTGTATTGGCTACCAAAAGAATTATTTCTTTTCACCCCTTTGCATTTAAATAATCTTTCTTGGGCATCTCACTGGCAAGCACTGTGTTCTATCTCCCTATCACATAGTATGACCTTTAATCTTTTAATACTTTCATATATGTATGCATTAACACCTGATAATTCAGGATATTTTCTTAATTTATTTTCATATAAGTATGCATCTTTATATTCATATTTAGCACAATACTTTCCTCCCCCACCCCCACACTTTTAGTTCTTTATTGCAAAGATACAAATTATGTGTATGTTGAATTTTCTATACAAGTTACCTTCTTCTGTCACTTTTCTCTCTAAAATTTTATTTTTCTCAGAATTCTACCATGGAAAATTTATCTTTTTTGATTATTGCATTTCCATTTTATGACCCTAATTTGAAAGCTTTTAAACCCCATTGTACATCATCATAATTTTCCTTATATTTGGCAACAATTTGTAGTGAGAATTCTTTATCTACTATTTTGCTCTTCTTTGTCTTTTTCTTATATGTTTTGTACTGGTTCTCCTTATTACGCCTCATTCAAAGGAACTGGTTTTCTGTGAAATAATGAGAGGGTTTCTGAGGGATGTCAAAAGTAATAATGAAAGATTGACCTGCCAATTGAATTTCACAATTCAAAAGGTCACCTTTTCATTGATGTTGTGGGGAAAAAGTTGTCTTCTGCGATCTTGGACTACATAGGTGAACTTTGTTTAATCTTGCTTTTTCTGAGACTGTGTATATCAGAAACAGCAAGTAAAACCTCATTTGCTACAGGGGAAAGCACACACAGGTTAAAAAAAAAAGAAATTGTAATTCTTTTTTTTTTTTTTTTTTTTTGACAAGAAGCAAAGTAAGTTTAGTGGCAGGAGTCACCACATCACAGTTTGACTATTTCCAGACAGTCATCATATTCAAGCCGGGTATCCAGTCAATGGTCGGACTTCCATTTTGGAAAAGTTTTAGAATTCATAGATTTGTATAGTAAAATAGGGAAAATTATTCAAAAGTACCCTTTTTCTTGAGCCCATAGGAGAGCTAAGGAAGGTCACAGGGCAACCACATAATATCAGACCTAACAAAATAACAAAAAGTGGAAGGAAAATTCAAAGATACCTGGAGGGACAGTGGTATGTCTTAGCGTATTACAGGGAGACGTCCCAGACATCGTACAGGCAGGAATTAAAATTTCAGGCAATTGAAAAAAAAAAAAAAAGCTGATGAAGGAGTGAGAGAGTGCAGAAGATCTGGACGCCATAGTCACAAAAACTGCATACTCTCTTCTAGGCCTTTCTGAAGGCCTTAACCGAGGTACTCATTAGAAAGACTTCAGGCAGGGTAGGACATGAATGAGTGCAGGCTATGGTCACAGGCTGAAAGGAGGGAGTAATTGCCACTGTGGTAAAGAAAGTAAATCCCACCTTGTCCCTTATCGCCTAAGGAACAGAAGACTTAAATGCTTACCTGCGCAAGAGTTTTAGTCTCACATGCATTTTCGTGCTGAAAGAATTTGTCCACCCCATGGTCCTTGGCATTATGATCAGTTTCCTCAGTGAAAAGGATAGCGTCACCATCAAAAGCCACACGGAGCTGTGAGTCACAGTAAGCAATCTCTTTGGCCCCTTCAAACATTGTGGCAGCAGCGATCCCTGACAGACCATGACATCGATTAGTACTTTCTCTGGAGCCATAAGCTTTAGTTTCTCCCAGTAAAATAATGAAGAAGAAGATTCTCCCAGGCCTTGTCTTTTCTCTGTAGCTACTCCCTGATGATTCCACTCTACTCTATAACCACACGTCTCAAAGCCGTTGTCTACATTCTGCCTCCATTTCTGTGAGGGGTGGGAAAGTGCAAAATGTGTGGTAGGATGGTGCCTGAGGACGTCTCTCTAGGAGTGTAAAGATCTAGAGAAGAAACTCAAGTGCTCTCACCGGTGGCAACCCCTTAGCAGAGACTCCAGCAAGGACATAGGCCACACATGTATGTGAAGCATGACATAAGTCATTGTTGGTGTAAGCATCTTAATTAACTAGCGAGAGAAAGCCCAAAGGATACCTTCATGAATTGCTTCTTGTATTTTTTCACAATCTGAAGAAAGATACAAGTTGGTAAGATAGGTCTTCAAATAGCCAATTGGGCTCTTTCCACCAGTTAGACAGTAGCGGTCAATAAGTAGGCCTGTTATTGAGCAAGAAAGACTTTGTCATGCTGTGGACTAAAGACAAAGTATTTACGTGAATACACATGAAAGTTAGCTTGTTCACAACTAAATGCCAGGGGGGTTTAGAAGGGTGCCGATATTGAAAAGTCTCTATTGTAAAACTCTGTTTTACATATACTATTCGTGTTTGGTGCATGACCGTTATGAAGTACTTCCACATAGACCGCGTCCATTTTCTCTCACGACAGCTTTATGGCAGGCATTATCCTCATTACAGAAAAGGAAACGGACATATAGACTGGGTCATGGTGATTCTTCTAAACTTCCTTCTCTTTGACAAGGGTGGTTATGGAGTGATGTTATTTTAATATATTGCAGTACCTGGGATTAAGTACCAGTCTGTATTTCTCTGCTAAAATACAATGGTAACAACACATAGTGTGAAGATTTAAACTTTTTAAAAAGCAAGTGTGAGGATTTAAAATTTATAAAAAAGCAACATCAGCAAAAGTTCTGAAGTGGTCCCTCTTTTCCTGATTTGACATTTTACATGCAATAATTAGTAGACTAAACAATAACATGTCATTAACTACCTTGTAAATCATCAACAAGTAAAAGAAAAATACTAGGTGTTGGTAAGATGCTTAGCAACCACTTAGCATCTACTGTGGATGGAGTTATAAATTGGCACAACCATCTAGAAAGTAATTTGACTATTTGTACCAGATATTTTAGCAGTTATGACTTTTACTCTGGGAATCCTTGTTTTTTTTTTTGTGTATATATATATATATGTGTATATATATATATATATATATATATATATACATATAATATATATGCCTAAGGGACTAATCTGAAATTCTGATAAAGGTAATTCATGATTACTTGTAAAAGTTTAAAAACATTGTTCAACAATGTGCAACAGCAAAATAAAGTATAACATTTTGCATATGATAGGATACCCCATATCAAAGTATTTCTGATATATGATAAACTGAGTTGCTCCACACGATAAAACAGAATCTTAAATCTACTCAGTTGTTTATTTTCTCTATGGCCGAAGAGAGTAAACAGAATGGGTCCATCAACAGTTGAGGTGGAAATGTTTGCTATGACAATATTAATAAAACATTGTCTCTTTTGCATTTCACCCAAGCTTGGGTATGAATCACATAACATTATACCCTAAATATCCTTAAATAAACTGACTTAATGATTAGAAATTATTTGGTGGCGATGGAACTTCAGAACTGATTAAAACCTTGTCTCGTCTGTCAAGATCATAGTTCACTAGGGAGCCAGACAGGTGTAAATCTGCCATAGAAGAGAAGGGTGAAAATTGCCTTCACCATCCAGACACAGGGAGCCTTCAGGGGAAAGATTGTTATCCCCAGAACAAATCTGCATGAGCATATTGAACTCAGTTAGTTCATCAGCACAGCTTATGGGTGAGTAACTGGTTCCTTATGCCACCAGCTCCAATGCAGTAAGAATGTATTGTAATCACAACTACTGCCATTCGTTGAGTGATTATGCCCCTCATCTATGCCAAACCTTTGATAGATGTTCTCTCTGTTCATATCATAGTATCATAGCATGTTGGTACATTTTTGAAAGGCAACCATTTTTTAAATTTTATCTCAGTAAACTATATCAACCCTGTAATATAAATCTTGTAATTTGTGACACCTCTTGACTAGCTCTAAATCTGTCCAGTTTAAACAGAGAGCTTAAGCATGCTGCGGTTAGCCTCATTTTGATTTGACGTGCCCCAAAGCTGGATATATCACTTAGAAAATAGTCTAAAGGTCTCCACATAAGAAGTCAGTTCATTCCATAATAGCAATAAAAGTGGACTTTCTCTTAAAGTTCACAACACACTGATGGAAATGTCATGAAGACACTTCAGTTAATGAAATTTTTCATGTTAAGGAATAAAGACAGTTTTACCAGCATACCCTGGATTTGATGTGTGAGGAGAACATCCAGGAATAGTCATATTTTAAGAGTAGAAAAGAAAGGTGAGAACCTTTAACACGTATCTGTGGTGAGCAAGAAGTTTGATCACACAGAGAAAGCCTCTGGGTTGACAGCTCCTTGAAGTGAAGTTCAGAAGTGAAAAACATAAAACAGAGAAATATATTGCAGGACCTGGGATTAAGACTTTGAAATTCACATTTGACAAGTTAAGTCCAGAGCTTTGGGCCCAACTCTGTGCTGAAGTTAAAAATGAACGTGGCCTTTCTTGTTCTGACATAGGCAAATAAACATTCCTCACGCAGAAGGGGGTGTCAGTATCAAAGACACTGCATCAGTTAGGGCACAGTTAGCAAAATAACGTGGCCTCCCCCTTCCAGAGCAGCGAGCTGTTCTTGCCCACGGTGTTTATTTTACTTACCGTAGTGATTGACGCTGTTTATAAGCCTCACTCCCACCTGGGCATGGTTATTAGTCATCAGCACAATATCAAATAAGTCCTGGTCATTGGGGTACAGCTCACGGAGTCTAGCATTGACATGCTGCAGTGCCTGCGGGTGGCAAACACAAATGTGGGCGAAGAGGGCCGGGGAAGGTGAGCCCTGGGCGTCTGGACAGAAAGCATCTCACTGGTGTCAGTATCACATTCTGGCTCTGGTCTTCACGGAGAGGTTATGGCTGCTCTAAGGCAGGGTTATGCCATTATTTCTGAATTTGCGACTTCTCATACTTAGGACGGGCGTTGGTGTTTGCTGAACAGATGGATAGTGTTGACAATCGTTACATTTGATTTGCTAGAATTATCTCTGTGGGCTAGGGAGCAAAAAGTTCAGGATAACCCCCTTCTTGTTTTTTAGGGATTTGTGAAATCTGTCCTCCTTCCCCCTGTGAAAATACAGAGTGCTTAATGGAATTGCGCAGGGGCCTTGCGGATGGTTATCTTTGCACACGCTGAGTTTCCGCACCCTTCCGATTTTTGTCTGTGAGTGAGCAAAGTGGGCACTTGTCTGTTTCTTAAATGTGAGGCCTCTGGTTTCCTCGCATGCGTCTGCCATGCCCCAATGGGAGGAGGAGGAGCGTTGGTTCGTGCTCCTGTTTAATACCGGTGTGCGTGCGCCTCCCACCGGGAGTTATACGTGCTGCCCGTTTTGGGAATTGGATTTTATTAGTAAAATCATCCCCCTGAGTGCCAAAACATCCCGATTTTCTTTATAGGCTATGTTTGGGGCAAGGGCAGCTAAAGTGAATTTTATTGCATTTTAATGAGGCATTTTATTTCTGCTGCTGGGAGTTGTAAAGTCATTATTTCATCTTGCGGGTGGGAACAAAGGTTTGTTACAGGTATCAAGCGCTCGGGGAAGCTCAGTATCCCAGATCTAGAGCTGCGCGCCAGAGTCCCTTTCTCAGCAGCCTGAGGTCTCTGTGAAAGTGTGGACTGAGTTGGGGTTAACTTGAAAGGACAAGAATGGCAGAGGTGGCTAGGAATTGTAGAGGAGCCCGTGTGAGATCCCAGGGTGGGCCTGGGACCCCTCTGCCTTCCAGGGTCCCGACGGGCCGCAGGCAGCAGTGCGCATTACCTTGACGAAGCGGAACGCGGGCCCTGGAGTCAGGATGACGTTCTCGTTGGTAAGCTGATACTCCATGTACTTTTCCAGACCCTCTTCCTCAAAGATTTTCGTGCCATCCATCATGTTAAAGAGTGCCCGGGACGACACCGCAATGGTGAGGGCATGCCTGGGTTTGGGCTGCAGAGAGGGATGCCGGAGAGGGGCCAGTCACACAGACTATAGGAGATCAGGGTGCGCTCATCCCAGGGCAGGGTGGGAGGGAGCCGCCAGGGCTCTGCTCAGAGCACGGGGCTTCAGGAGACAGCCAAAGGCCGGAACCCCAAGTTTTCAGGGGGAGGCTTGTGGAGAAGGGACAGGGAACTGGGATGAAATTCCCTGCACCTTACTTGTGGGGAGGTGAGAACCATGGGCTTTGAACATGGCCGTCAGGGCTGTGGGAATGCCAGGAAGGACACCCAGGCACCCCGGCAGTGGAGTCTGCTTACCGGCGGGGGGCGCGAGCAGCTGGGGGTCTTCTCATACAGTGTCCTCACTGATGACCAATAGGCCTCGTCCTCATCTTCCTCGACATCCTGTTGCTTCTTCCGGGGGGCGGGGTCTGAGGACATACAGTCGCTGTCCACCTGGGAGGAGGGGTAGAGCGACCTGTGAGGGTTGTAGGACTTCCACTCGCTGGGGGGCGTGCGTGGGTAGTCCCTCTTGTCCCTGTTGTCCCTCATGATGCCGTGAGTCCAGGTGTCAGTATTCTCATTCATCTTGGTGCCGCGTCGAGATGTCGGCTGGAACTGGGGCTCCGGGGGCGTGGGAGGACAGGAGTCCACAGGAGCGGGTGGCGTGTGCTGTGACGGAGGAGTGCGTGGGGAAATCTGTTCGAGCAGCTTTTGAGACTCGTGTTGGCTTGGGGAGGTAGATGAAGTTCTGGAGGTTGCGGAGCTGCTGGGGAGCTGGAGAGAGAAAACAGGCCTCTGAGTGTGCTGCTCCCCGAGGATCCTTGTCCCCACGCTCCCAGCGTCCAGAGCTCTCTACTTCCCTCTGTGTCCTTCCTGCCTCTTGGATGGACCCTGATCCATCTCAACTACTTTAGGAACAAAGGGGCTCAGATATTTCAAGACTCCAGGTATAAGAGGTTTCTAGTAAATGGATATAAAGTCAGTCTGCTTTCATTTTCTCCCAGCTCTCCCACCACTTTTTTTTTTTTTTAAGATTCATTAATTTATTCCTATAGAACTGGGGTACAAGCCAGGGGTTCAGAGGTGGTAAGAGGCTTCACCATAGACAGAGTGGGGAGCAGAACAGGCAGATGGACAAAGTACACTGCTGAGGGGAGCAGCGGGCGGGTCAGGAGAGGTCTGCCGAGCCATGTGGGTCACCTCTGGGGCCGGGGATCGAACTCTCACTAAAGTGGCTGCTGCTAGCTTGCACTGCTGCGTCCCACCCCACTGCGCCACCAGGGAGGGCCCCCACCCACTTTTTTCTAAAGTAACTAGAGCACAGGATTTTTTCCCTTGCTCTTAGGTAGCTGGCACCAAGTTTTCAAAGTTCTGTTGCTTCTATTGGTGTCTGCTGTGTACCCGCTCAGACACCTCCGGGTAGGGCATAGGGATTGAGAGAGGGGCCTTGCGTCCCATTGTCTCCATAGTGACCTCCAGGATTTCCCAGCAGAAGACTTCACATCCCTCTCCATAGTTTCCCTGTTTTTATTATATTTATTGCTGGGAAGGTTGGTAGCTGCGGCACTGAGTCTCCCTGCTGTCTCTAGAAGTTCCTGTGCCAGTGGAACTCAACTGGAAAGAACCATCTTTTCAAACAGAAAAGAATCATTTGTAGAAAAAGGACCCCTCTACTTAGGTGTGTAGTAAATTGTTAAGCATTCATATATTATTTCAGCTTTGTTGATTGCTTCCTGTTTTTCAAAGGCATATTCTTGGTTAGATTGCTGACCTAAGCTAGTTTGATATTTGACAAATTGGAGACCCACAGCGGTAGATCGGTAGGGTGTGTGTTCTTCCAGTGACTGTGGCACTCTCTCTGCATCCAAAAGTTTGATCTCAAAACACCGAACTTAATCCTCTCCTATGGCTAAGCCTAGTTAAGGGTCCAAGGTAGCATGCAATCTCACATTTTTTCAATATTTTATGTCCTTGGATGACCTCTCCACCCCCTTTTCTGAGACTTGGGTTCCCCAATAGTTGAAGAAGGAATAAGAAAGCATAGAGATTAATCACTAAGTGTTCAGTTTAGCAATCTAGAAGTCCTTGCTTTTAATCTAGTTCTTGTAGCACAAGGAATGTGACATCTTTGGCTGACTACTCCAGATTTCAATTTACTCAACTATGAAATGGTACTTCATAGGGGTGTTGATGAGGACTCAGATAGCTAAACCATGCGACACGTGTAGATAGGGCTTGGCACATAGAAAACTTCAAGGTCTGTTATCGTTTTTGCTATTATCATGGCCATGAGGTACTTGTTTCCTCCATCTCTCACTACCTTGTTAGTGGTGGTCTTGCTTCTGCCTTCGTCTGTTGAAGGAGCTCTCACGGATGGGCTCCGAGAAGTTCGGGACCACTGATTTCGCACTAGGTACCCTCGAGAGTCTGTCTTCGGCACTAATTCTTGTGACCCCTTTGGAGGAGAGAAGAGACCTATGGGTGTAATACCGTACTCCACCCATTCTTTCCATGCATGCGCCTCTCCAGAGTAGCCATGTCAGACTAAACATTGCCATACCCAATGAGATCGTCTCTGGCTTCTCCGACCCTTATCTTAGCCATGGCTTTTGTGTATTATTTTAACTCTAGCCCCATCCTGGCTTCTGTGAGGCGCAGCAAAGTAGGGGTCAACCTGGAACAGCAACCAAACCAAGAAACAAATCTGATACCTCCTAGTTCCTTTACCTGTGATTCTGCTTATATGGAACTGAGTAGAGTTGATCATTTGTCCTCCTTTTCCCCCATCTCTTTTCTTACAGGTAAGCCTGTTAGCATGTGCTAAAAAGACATTGCCACCACTTTTGGGGTAGACTACTAAAAGGAGGGCAGCTGGAACCCTAACAAGACTGGCAGAGCTAGAAGGCTGCCGCTGCATGGGAAGGAGTAGAGCCCCCTAGCGTTCCCTTTGGGAGAAACAAGAATGGGGGAGACCATGGAGAGGCAAGTGAAGAGTTTCTGCTTCCCATATCCTCCCCCTCACCCAGATTGCCTGTGACTCCCCTCCGAAATCAGTAGTTTGATCTCTGCTCACCCTGATCATGGTGATCTGCAGGCCCTGCTCCCACAACAGGCACATGTGAATATAAATACGTAATGTGCGGCAGGGACCAAGAGGCACTGTTCCCTCAGCTGCACAAAGGCAGCGTCTACACGGCGTGTGCCCTCTCATGAGGCAACATCTCAGCAAGTGATTCGGACTGCCTGCACGCCTCATCTGAAAGATGGTGCAGAAAATGGTCAATGTGAGGGCCAGGCTCCCCTTCCCTCCCTGAGCTGAACAAGACCAGAGTCCTCCCATAGGCTGAGCAGAGGAGATGGCTGTGGTGGGCTGTGCTTTCTAACAAAATAATCTGCTGGGGCTGTAGGCTAGAGGGAAAGCAGGGGCCAGCTTTACCTAGTTTTCCCTTGACCTCTCCATGAAGATACTAGGTATACTTGAAAACAGTTCTCAGCAGCCCGGTCTTTCCTCCCCGCATCCCTTGACCCCCTGATATTTTCTGTTAGTTTTCTAGTTTTTTTTTTTTTTTTAGTCTCTCATCAACTCTAAGGAGGTCAGCTCACCTGAGTGTTCAGACGGACTCCTGATTTCTCAGAATCCTTTTTTTTTTCTGAATCTACACTGTCCTTTGAGTATCTTGATCCAGTATCATTCTTAATATGGAAACAAAGAATGTTTATTAATTTTTAATGGCAGAGACATTGGAAGCCTTTTGTTTGGGATTGTAAGAATAAATACAATTAGAATTTGTCTTTTTGCCAATATAGAAAAGTACACAAATTCCAGACTGTGTTTCCCCCCCATTCTAAGAAACATGAGTCAAAATAACACTTATCAGAAGACTATATAAACATTTTTTGAATATAGAAAGTTGTTGGTTTATAGATCCAAGGCATGAGGCTTTTATTATGTAAAAAATGATAATATGGGATTTCCCCAGGGCTCAGCAGGACTTAGATTTAAGTGGTTCACATAGTGGGACCTCTTTTTTCCTCCTTTACAGTGAAGCTCACCGTTTGTGGAACTTTTCCTTTTGCCATGTAGTGTTGAAACTTACTTTGCTTTTTCAATTAATTGCAGCTCCGATTGCCTATGGATGTAAGCCTCAGATACTAATCTGAGTTTTAAATTCAAGGACCTTCATTCTCTACAGATCTGTGGACTAACATGTTTTCTTCTTACCAAATAATACATAGCCTCTAGTTTGTAAAAGGTTATTTTTTTTTTTTAAACAAACTAAGGGAGCACCATGTAGGAAAACATCAGAAGATAGTCACTGTGTGAGATACCAATTCAATATATATTTGCATTTTCAGTTGTAGCAAATGGCACTATTTTGGAGTCCTATCTGCTTACTAGGTGGCTGTATGTGGCCAAGGTCATTATTAGTGTGATTGGTCTGTTTAAGCACCTCAATTTCGAGCTCAGACCCAAGTGCCGAGAGGTAATCTATTCATTCATCATTTTCTGCTCTGTGCCTTGCACCCAGGAAAAAAGACTGACCAATGTTATCTGAATGACTGAGTCTGACTTTAGAGAACGGTATGTGTGTGGCTCTACAACTAATCTTGCTGTCCTTCCGTCAACCACCACCACCGTAAATCTTACTTTTACTCCAAAAGGTATTGCGAGGCCAAAGCCTCTTTCCCATCCCTGTTCTCATTGCCTTGCTTCAGGTCCTTGACCATCGTGGACTTACAGTCTTGGCTGGTAGCCTTCTGCGCTGGTGTTTTGGCCTCAATTCCTCCCAACTTCTAGATCTAGCCACTTCATCAGAGGTCTATTTATAAAATATAAGTGTAATTATGCTTACTTTCAGGAGCGCCACTATGTATCCTATTTACGTCTCCTACCTCCACTCCTCCCCTGGATTCTCTGTAGCCTTTTATTTGCCTATATCTTTGTTACTTTCTCTTTCTTCCCTTTAGCAGTTGTTCGGAGCAAGCTCAGCATGGTTTGGGAGAAATTCTCAGTGTTCAGCATCCCTCCGGGTTGTCAGTGTCTCTTGCACATGTTATCACTGAGCCCCGAGCTGTCATTGTCTTCAGAGACAGACTGTTTCCACCTCTTAGGACTAAAATATGATCACAGGGTCAGGAAGTGCTGACTGACTGGGTTGACTTACACTATGTGCCTTTTAATCTCCTTTCCACCACTCTCTTCATTTCCTTCACTTCCTTTTTACCTATCTGTAGTCATCATTTGAACTTATTTGATGCTGCAGAACACTTCCAGAGGTAAGCAATGACTGATAATTAGCTTTCCTCAGTTCTTTGGCAAGATTCTAGGACACTCAGCCCACTCACCTTCTTTTTTTGTTTCAGAGACGTTTGACTCATTTCTTTAATTATTGAAATTCTTTTGTTGTTACGCAGGTTTTTGTCTCCCCAGCTCCATTTCCTGCTGTTTCTGTGGCTTAGTCTAGGTTTGCATTTAGAACATCAAATTTATGACATCATATGTGATTCCATAGTAACAAACTGACACTGTGAGTATGTGACTATAAAAACAGTATTTCTTCACATTTGAATACATCGACTTATAACCATTATTTAGGATATTAGGAATTGATGTCTCAACAATGGTCAATATGTAACACAAACAATATTACAGCTCCTTCTTTATAAATCACTTTAAGGATTACCGTGGCCCTCATCATTCAATTCCATTTATGGCTGTGTGTTTTCTGGAAGAGCCAAACTGAATGATAGACTCCTCTGTGGACCCTGTCCTTTATTATCGATTGTATTGCCAGATTTTGGAGACCTTATATGTAAACCCAGGAACTTTTTTTGACATCTGATACCTTGTTATAGACAAGGAGCTTAGACTTTAGTCTAACTCTGGTCTTTAGTATTTCTATAATAGGGCAAGACCATTTCCATTTTAGAAGGTCAAAATACTTTGCCTGTAGCTAGACACAGCGTAGCAGATGACGTTTGAACTGTCTTTCCTGCCATTTGCCTCTTTCTTGAACATTTGATCACATCCATGGCCTGCTTGTGTATATAGAGAATCATTAAGACTCTGTACATAAGCTCCAGCTCCCAGCTTTGGTTTAAGGGTCCAATAATACATTGCATTTTATGGTTCTTATTTTATCTTCACTCAAACTTCAGGCAAGAGACATATACCAACTCAGCCTCAGTTGGTTAAACCTTAATGAACTATTGAGATAGGTTTCTGATCTCTCCTCAGAAGCTTTGGCTCCTTAGTTTGAATATCAGTAAAAGCTTCAGTTAAACTTAAAGGATCTTCTAGATAATGAAATGTGCAGGCTGTCATTTAGGTTTGAATTCTTTCTCCTATATCTACTACTACTTCTTTTTTCTCTGTGATCCAGGGCAAGTTGTTTAATTTCCCCAAATCTAAAATTTTCTTATTTACAAACAGAAGTTGGTAATGATACTGATACCAAGCAACTGTGATGGTTGAAATATTATAAAGACCTGAATATAATGATTGACATTCACCAGTGATTAAAGTTATTGCTTATTTCTATTCATAGTTTTGCTACAGCTATACTACAGAATTCAAATAGAAAAAAAGATAACTAATTTAATCCCACTGCAATCTAGTTGTAGGAAAAGAAGTTTGAAAATACTCCTTTTTCCTGTGTATACCCAATCAAATGTCAGTTTGATGATGCTTCGGTATTTGAAACTCTGTAGTCTTAGTGGTATAGACAGCAAGGAGGCTGGACGAGGATGGGCCAGGCCCTAGAGGAACAATTGAGGACAAAAGCTGGAGAACGTCAGACTTGTGTACTGCAAAGCACAAGAGGACAATTTTGCAGAGGTGAGGACTTAAAAGATTCTTTATTTTCTAACTGGCTTATCTAGCCCACATCGCAGATCAGCTTTTGTTTCTGGTCCCTTCCATGATGCTCCCATGTAATTTAGGTATTGAAAAAGCTCAGTATATTCAAGCATCCACTTACGTATTTTAGATTATTTCCCCCCCTCTCATACCATACAGTCTAGAATAGAATAGGAGCCTACTCAATATCTCGAATTACTTTATGGATTGATGTTTAAACCTGTAGGTATGTTGTTTCATTCTGTGTACTAAGAGTGATATTTAAGAATTGTTTTATATATATATATTTTCAGGTTTATGGATGTGTTTCCTTTATTATTTTCTCATTATTAACTTATTTTGCGTGGAGAACTACACATACTTGTAGGCAGCTATATTTGTCAGGGTTCCCTAGAATCTGAATCAATAGTATGTACATAAATGAGATTTATTATGCAAGTCAGCTCATGTGATGATGAAGGCTGAGAAGTTCCTAATGTGCTGTATGCAATTAGGAAAAAAAAGAAATGCCTATTCAGTTAATGTCTGAGGGCCTGACAACTAGGAGATTGATGGTATAATTCCAGTGGAATGTCAAAGGCTTGAGAACCTTGGGGCTGCTGATTTAAATCTAGAGTCTGAAGGCCAGGGTACCCAGGAGCTTTGATAACCAACGGCAGGGAGAGAAAATGTATGTCCTAGGTCAAGAAGCAAGAGAGAGGAGTCACCTTTCCCCCACCTATTTGGTTATATTTGGACACTCCATGGGTTGGATGGTGACTGCCCATTCTGTGGGTGGGTCTTCTTTACTCAGTCTACTGATTTAAATACTGATCTCTTCCAGAAATATCTTTGCAGACATATTGAGAAATAATGTTTTACCAGCTATCTGGGCAGCTTTTGTTTCACCTAGTACAACCGACACATAAAATTAACTATCACAGCGGCTTATCTTTTTATTTTTCTTGGCTTCTTGTCTCCATGTGCTCAACCTTAGTAATAAAGACAAATTGGTACAAAATTATGACAATGCCATGCAAACCTTCCCAGGTCACTGGAGGTTGGATTTGATAATGAAAATTATCACCGTCAGTTCAAGTTGTGAATAAAATTTTAAAAAGAGGATTTAAAAGGCATTTTTGATTATCACCAATGTGAACAAGTCTATGAAAGTATTTTCAGAACATCCTTTTTGATTATTGCTATGGTTACCAAGAGGGATATGCTTATGCCCTTGGCAATGCCAACGGGATATTGCAGAGTGAATTATGAGACGTGATTTCCATTTGGTCATCCTTTGGCTATTTTTTATTCTCTTCAGGGAATTGTGATAACATTCAATTTTCCTAGAGACACTTGTAGACTCCTATTTATTTAGCTAGTAGGTTTTCATCATCTAAGATGTATATTGAATAAAGCCATTTAGCACTATGTCCTGGGAAGACTCCAAACATGTTTTTCCTCAAATAAGAGCATGACCACCCTGATCCAACTTGATCTATAGAAATAAATCTTGTGCAAGATGGCTCTGAATTTGTAGTCAAGTCTATAAATACAAAAGTAACTGGTATGTTAGAATGTCAACATTGATTAATATTTTAAAGTGTTTATATATGTAGATAAATAGGTTCAAAGCTAATGGAATTTAGTGAAAATGACAGTTAAAAAGTAGCACCTTCAGATAGTCATAATTAGATTTATAATTTCACTCATTTGTCTAAAGTTTAACCTTTCCTCTTTTGTAAAATATTGTTAGAGTTATATGATATATATAACTCAGTATCCTAACTGGTTTACAACACTTATATGATTGAGATGTAGAGAGTCATACTTCTTCAGATGCAGGTTGCCAAGTCACACCTGTCATCAAAGTTCTCCCCTCCAGTCCCTTGGGCCCCCTGTAACTATCCTTCCCCTCTTGTAGCCTCAGTTCTGCAGTCAGATTTCTAGGGTCTGTGTTGGTTTAGTTTTGAGTGTTCCTTTGTTTTGTTCCTCTCTACCCTGCTTAGGAGTAAAACATCGGCTATTTGCCTTTATTCTTATCTTACCTATGTAATGTTACTGTATCTTCCATGTTGTTACTTGGTTTGATTAATCACAAATTTAGTGAATGCATAATGTGCTAGACTGGATAACATACTATCATTTGCATAAATATTAATATTTCCCTACTATTAAATATCTGTGGGGCCGCCAAGGTTTGCTGGTATAAGAATTTTCCCTTCTTCAGCCAATATACAATGTGTTAGTGCAACATATCTTTTTCAAAATTACTATAAAACATGTAGTTGTATGGACTCATAAGACCCCAGGTGCTGGCAATAGAACCTTACCTCAGGCCCTCCTCAGTGGCGCAGCAGATTAGGATGCAACACTGCAAGCTAGCCACAGCAGCTTCAGTGTGAGTTCGATCCCTAGCTCTGGAGGTGACCCACATGGTGCAGCAGACCTCTCCTGACTCGCCCGCTGCTCCCCTCAGCAGTATATTTCACAATTTTCCTGTTCTGCTTCCCATTCTGTTTCTGGTGAATCCTCTCAACACCCTTGCACCCCTGGCCTGTACCTTATGCTTTGTATGCATGAATAAATACATCTTTAAAAAAAAAAAAAGAAAAGAAAAGAAAAAGAACCTCACTTCATTCATCAGGGCCAAGTCAAGATGATTGGGCTGTGAATTGTTGAAAAGCAACAGCAATGGCTTCTTCTGACTATCTCATGGAAAGAAAATAATCAAGGCAGAAAGTCACATCCTTGTTTGTTTGTTAGAATGACCATGGAACTTTGAAAAAAATCATACTTTCCAGATCACAGCATAGACAGTTTTAATCAAAACCTCTGGGGTGTGAGACCCACATGCACTTCATTTGTATTTTACTAGAGGGTCGAGTAGGATTTCTAAGGTACAGAACTTCACCTCCTTCCCCTCCCTGCCTGCAGATTCTGCAAAGGACCAGGAAGCATCAGACCTACAAAGCTGATCTCTCAAGCTGAGAAGTCTGATTTCTTTTATTCTTACCTCTCTCTTATCTCAGGTCCTTACAAAATTGGATCTCTTTTCCCCCTGTGGTGTTTTGTAAACAATAGACCTTCTCCCATTCCTTTAGCCTATTGTCAGTGAGGTTTTCTAGTGAGCTAAGCAGAAGCCTCCTCACCACTGTATTAGTCTATAGTATTGCCTCCTTCTTTGCCAATCACCTCTATATATGTGTAGCTTTCAACACAACCAGTAGGGTCTTTCATTTCTTTATTTAAACTAATTTGTAGGGAACCATTATATTTGAAGGACCAAGTTTCAAATAAATTAGTCTGCTAGGCAAGGCTCCCCACAACAGCCTGACAGCTGTTTCTCACCTGTTTCCCTGGACTTGCAAAACTCAATCACCTGACAAACACTTCTCACTCACCTTTTTAAGAAAAATGTTATTGAGATAGAATCAACACACCATTATATCGATAATTCACCCTCTTACCTCTTCAGTGGTTTTTAGTAAATTCCTAGATTTATGTAACCATTACCACAATTTTAGAACATTTTTATCAT